CCCCAGCGGGCTCCCGCCCCGCGCGGGCCTCTCCTTCGCTGGCCGGACCGTCGGCCCGCGGAAAACAAAGGCGCCGCCGCCGCCGCCGCCGCTCCGCCCGCCCGCGCCAGCCTCACCGCGTACCCCTCCCCGGCCGCCGGGCCCGGCTCGCCCTCACTCGTTGCCGAGTCCGCGCGCCGACCGCCCGCGGCCCCTAGACGGCAGGCCCGGCGGAGCCGGGACCTCGGGTGCGCGTTAGGGCCGCCTGGGGCCGCACTCACCGCTGCAGCACCAGGACGACGGGGAGCCGTTGGGGAACTTGGCTGAGTCCGGAGCGATGCAGACGCTAGAGCTGAGGTGCGGACACTCCATGGTCACGAGAAGAGCGGCGAGTAACACCGAAGCTCGGGCTCTGCGCGAGATGGGGGCGGAGGGACTCCGAAGGCTCCGTCTCGGGTCGCTCCTCGCCGGGCGCTCGGCCGACGACGGCTGCGTCCCGAGCCCTTGCGTCAAAGAAAGCAAAAGCTTCCGGGCGCCGGGTTTTCTCGCCCGCCGAATCCAGAAGTCCCGCTCCGGAAAACATGGAGATCCTGGATCCGGGTTCTGCCGCCACCCCTAGGCTGGGGTTTCCGTCTTCCCCGGCCGGCCCCGCCCCTGGGCTGGCCACGCCCCCATGCCCAGCTCCGCCCCCGTCCGCTCCCGGGGGGTGAGGTCTTGGCCTTCGCAGGCAGGTGGCCCAGAGTCGGGCTGCGCTCCTAAAAGACTTTCCCAACTCTCCCGCCCCGGGCGGCCGCGGCTTCCCCAGATCTCGGGAAGGGTGGGGCGCCAAGCCGGGACAAGCTGGGCAAGTCCGCTGCGTTTACCGCGGCCCGGCTAGCGTTCGCAGTCAGATAAGACTGATCCTGCCTGGTGTTTGGTCGTCTGACTACACCGTGGTAGAAAATCTGGCCACACAAGAAAGTGTGAAGAAGAAGAAAAAAAATCACTCGGGCAGACAGGCACTAGAGCCCGCATTTTACACACAAGCTCAGAGAAGTTAAGGGCCTGGCCCCATGTGGCCCAGCGGAATGCATAGGTCGCAGAGCAGTCCTAATTTAGTGTTTTCCCTGGGGCAGGTGTGATACTAACCAGGATCTAGGTTCTTAACACGTGGCCTTAGCCAACCACCTGGGTGCTGGACCAGCCAGAGCGCCCACGAACCTGAGTTCAAACCCTGTCGCCCTGACTAACCGAGCATGTGGTCGGACTTTCCTACCTCACCCTCCACTGAAAGTGGGATAGCCCTAACCTGGGTTTGCTGAGCGTGAGGTCCGAGTTACCAGGTGATAAAAAGGGAAGGGATCTAACATTTGTTAAACACCTACTACTGTCTCATAGCCAGGCATTTTGCACACAATACCTCTTTTTAAACCTCGTACCACCCTGCCAGCTGCTGTTATAAACCCCTTTTCTACCGCGGGGGAAACCTCGTCTGTAATTGGCTAATGCGTGCCAGAATAGGATCCCTGAAGTCTCTGACCTCTTTGTAAAAAGTGGATAAGGAAAGCCTCAACGGGCTGTTTGAGCTGGCGTTACACCCAAGCGAGCCTGGGATCTCTCTGGAGCACGCACGGCCTTGAGGACGTCCGGGGTTATTACAAATACTGCCTCAAAGTTGGGGCTCCTTGTAAAACCCGGCGAAAGAGCAGCAAGGCCAGAAGGCGAGCAGGGGGAGGAGGAGGAGGAGGATGTGGCAATCCTGCGGGCAGGGCGACAGGAGGAAGGAAGGTCAGGAAATGATTAACCGGGCCGGGCCGGGTGGTGGTTAGAGCAGGGCTCCTTCCTGCAGTGCAGTCCTGGGGCAGCTCAGGGATGTCCTCTCAGTCACTTCTCACGCCTCACCATCCCCCATCACCCCTCCACCCTCCCACCCCAGGCACCACTCAATTTCTTCGTCATGGTGTCTGGGGGCATCAATGCAGACCGTATCCCCCAGTAGTATTTCCAATTCCTCAGTCAACGCTTTTCTGTCGCTTTCGAAGTTTTATTTGATTTGTTCTGTTAGAGCAAGCCTGGGTCTTGGGATTTTATGACAGTAAGGAGTTGCAGCGCTAGTCCACACAAGCCTTTTTTTTTCTATCTGTAAAACTGGCAAAATAATATTTATCTCACAAGGAAGATGTGAGAATGCCACTATGTCGTAAATATCCAATAATATATAGCTTTTAAAAATTACAGTAGGTGAGGGAGTAATTGCTAGGAAAGCGGAAGATAAACAATAAATCTGACCTTTGTTCAAGCTCTCTCCCTCTCCGTCTATCAACCCATCTTTTTTCAAGGCCTGGCTGGTCCAACTTCTGTTTCCCCTTGGACACCTACCCCTAGTTAGTATGCATACCCCTCATTTAGCCATGGAGCATACCTTGACCCATGCTGTCTTTCATACTGGCATGTAATGTGTCTTTTCTCACCCGCTCAGAGACTCAGTTTCCTTATTCTCTACCTCGCTTAAACATCACTTCCTCAAGGAGGCCTTTCTTGACCCTGCTCCACCCCCAGGTTACCTTCAGGTGTGTGATGCCCTTGTCTGCCCCCACACTGTGCCTTTTTTAAACATTCTTCATGCGTGTAATTATTTGTTTAATGTCTGTCTTTCCCTTGGAGGTCCATAAGGATAGCAAACAAGTCTGTCTGGTTTCCTGCTGTATTCCTAACAACATGTGGAACATGGAGGTTGTCCAATAAATAAGTGTTCGATAATGAATGAGTGATCAATTAGCAACGTCTATCATGGGCAGGAGTTTAGGATGTGGCCCCATATATGCCAGGCATTTTCCCTCCAGCCAAGGTGATCTCTAAATTTCCTTCAGCTCTGAGTTTATGATTTTGATGGCATCAGAAATGTGTAAGGTGTAAACTTCTTTAAAAAAAAAAAAAAGAAAAGAAGAGAAAGAAAGAAAAGTTTTCATTAGAATCTTCTCTCCCCCACTAGAATAAAAAAAAACCCGGACAAGGGCCCTAATTTAGTCATCCCTGACTGCTATAGTCCCCAGAGGGCAAACTATGACTACCAGGCAGTCCAGAGAAGCTGGCAAAATCAAAGAGGGCCTCCTGGGGCTTTAGCTAGATTTTCCTTTTTAAAACACAGGGAACTTTCCTGTGTCTTTGAAAGTTTTCATACTAAAAATATATATATATAGAGAGAGAGAGTTTGGAGAAAAAAAAGAAAGAAAGAAACCTCGCGATGAGTACATGTGTCAAACGGGGGAAGACCACGGGACACACAGGGAAATCTGCTTTTTCAGTTCCTCGTTTCTTCGGCTACATTTAATACAACGTTCGCTTTTTTGTTCTTGGCCGGCATCGCTTTGGCACTGAGGAGCTCTGACATACATACCAGTGAGCCCTGGTGCTGATGAGCCAGCTTCCAGCTCAGGCGCTTGGGAACGGCGGCCTCCGGCCTCCGGCTTCCCCAGCCAGTCCTCCGCAGCCCAGGGGGAGAAGGGAGGGGATGGTTCCTGCCAACACCGCTAGGCGAGTTTTAAGTTTGCATTTTTCAGAGGAGAAGAATGCACAATTGCAACCATTCTATCAAGTGTTTCTCTTCTAAAGGAGATGTATACATATGGGGGAGGGGAGCGGGTGCTGACGCAGGAAGGGGGGAAAAGCATACGTTGCCATGGGAACCATGATCAGGAAAGGTCTCAAGGTTGCTTTGACCTTCCCTAGCCTTAGACTTGAGACTTCTGGCAGAATCGGTAGTCCCAAAGCAAGGATTACAAGCTGACCAGTCCCTGGGGAAGACTAGCTCTGACTATCCTCACTCAGGCAAGGCTTATTAGAAGCACCCAAAGAGCTAGGTTAATTATTTACCTTAGAGATTTTTCTAGGAGCAAAGCCTCCTAGGGAAATCAAAGTTAGATCAAGAGAAGGCTTGGTGAGGATTCAGAAGGAGGGGATGGTAGTGAGGAGCAGCTGCCCCAGGGACTTCTTTTTATCACCTCATTTAATTTTCCAAGTGACACTTATGTGATGGTCCCTTGCCTGTTTACTTGTTTATCAATTGTCAGTTTCCTCCATGAGAACAGAAAACTTGCTAGTCCTGTTCATTGCCTGATGTCCAGCTCCTGGAATTCAGCCTGATACATGGCAGGCCCTCAGTCACTATTTGTTGAATGACTGAATGATGGGGGTGAGTGTGGGCTTCAGGCTGCCAGTCCCCACTTCCGCAGACAGGAATATCTGTGGTGTCATTCTCCCCCTTCTTTTCATTCACCCCTTTCACATTACCTCCTTGCCCAAAATTCTTTAGTGGCTCCCTATCTCTGGCAAAATAAAATCAATCGAAACCCTACTGCCATCATAGTTAGTCATCTGCCTCTTCTCTTTCCCTAAAGCTTTACAAAACAACAACAACAAAAAAAACAACTTTCAGCAGTACCTAAAATAGTACCCTGATTATGGAAAAAACGTTTCCTCACACCTCTGTATCTTCTCCCACCTCTTTCCCTTCTACCAGACCAGCTCCTACTTCTCCCCCGTGAAGTTTATAGCCTCCTCAGGGAAGCCGTCCATCACTCACCCAAGCAGACTTCTAAGCCTCCTCCTCCCGAACCCCCATTTTATAACAGCTTGTCACATGGTGCTGTTATTTTCTGTTTACCTCTTAGTCTCGCTCGGGAACACATGCTTTTCTTTTCATCTGTGGATCCTAGGCACCTAGTTCATGAACTGCAGATATTTAAAAAATATTATATCTGTTGATTAAATGTTGGAAGTGCCCCCTTTTGAGAGTGATGACGTCAATCATTAAGTGTAATGGTCCCCTAGTTATTCACAGACAGTTATTCTCAACTATGTAAGAACAGAAACTTACATTTATTGGGTTTCAAGTAGGTGTCAGATACTCTATCAAGTGATTTTCATTTCTTCGTTAATCTCCATAATAGGTATTATCACCTGAGGTAGGTATGATCATCTCCATTTTACTGATGAAAGAGTGAAAGTTCAAAAAAGTTTAAATAATTGCACAAATATACACAATTAGCATTTGGTTTTTCATCAAAGTTGGTAGAGTTTTACCCTTCAAACACATCGTCAGCTAAATGATTTTGCTGTATTATATAGAAATAGCTTAAGTTCCTAATAATGAAGACTCTTAGGGACCACAACACACAGAAGAGTAACTAAAGAATCATTTAGGTGCAGTACTATTGTAATAATCACATCATCAACATCTTAATTTGTGTTGCTTTTTTTAAAGATTTTTATTGGGGAATTGGGATGGGAACAGCACTGGGGAATTGGGGGAAGGGGAACAGACAAGTTGCTGTCATTTTGTTCTTCAGTCTAGTTGTGGAGGACGTTGCTTCCCTGGCCCAAGTTGGCACCATCATTGCGCTCTTCCCTGGCGAGGCAGATCAGTCGCCAGCTTCTGGACGGCCACTCACGGCATGTGTTGCTTTTAATGCTTTCTTCTTTCTCATTGAAATGTGAACTTCACAGCACTTTTATGAAGGAGATGAGAAGGCTCTCTTGTTTGAAGACCCATTTTGCAGATAAAGTATTGACCAATTGAGCAAAACACTGTGGCCCTACCACCAAACAACTCTTGACAGTGAAGGGGTCACTTCTTCCTCTGGGCCGCAGTCTCCAATCTGTAAAAACAGAGGGTTGAGCTAAATGATCCCTAAGGACCTTTCCAA